TTCTTTAGTTGGATTTCTCTTTACAGTATGAACCTGTCTTTATGCAACGCCTGACCAACTGACCTCTGACCGTCTTTATGCAACGCCTGACCAACTGACCTCTGACCGTCTTTATGCAACGCCTGACCAACTGACCTCTCACTGTCTTTATGCAACGCCTGACCGTCTTTATGCAACGCCTGACCAACTGACCTCTGACCGTCTTTATGCAACGCCTGACCAACTGACCTCTGACTGTCTTTATGCAACGCCTGACCAACTGACCTCTGACCGTCTTTATGCAACGCTGACCAACTGACCTCTCACTGTCTTTATGCAACGCCTGACCGTCTTTATGCAACGCCTGACCAACTGACCTCTGACCGTCTTTATGCAACGCCTGACCAACTGACCTCTCACTGTCTTTATGCAACGCCTGACCGTCTTTATGCAACGCCTGACCAACTGACCTCTGACTGTCTTTATGCAACGCCTGACCAACTGACCTCTGACCGTCTTTATGCAACGCCTGACCAACTGACCTCTCACTGTCTTTATGCAACGCCTGACCAACTGACCTCTGACTGTCTTTATGCAACGCCTGACCTCTGACTGTCTTTATGCAACGCCTGACCAACTGACCTCTGACCGTCTTTATGCAACGCCTGACCAACTGACTTCTCACTGTCTTTATGCAACGCCTGACCAACTGACTTCTCACTGTCTTTATGCAACGCCTGACCTCTGACTGTCTTTATGCAACGCCTGACCAACTGACCTCTGACCGTCTTTATGCAACGCCTGACCAACTGACCTCTGACCGTCTTTATGCAACGCCTGACCAACTGACCTCTGACCGTCTTTATGCAACGCCTGACCAACTGACCTCTGACTGTCTTTATGCAACGCCTGACCAACTGACCTCTGACTGTCTTTATGCAACGCCTGACCTCTGACTGTCTTTATGCAACGCCTGACCTCTGACTGTCTTATTCAACGCCTGAACAACTGGCCTCTGACTGTCTTTATGCAACGCCTGAACAACTGACCTCTGACTGTCTTTATGCAACGCCTGAACAACTGACAACTGACTGTCTTTATGCAACGCCTGACCTCTGACTGTCTTTATGCAACGCCTGACCAACTGACCTCTGACTGTCTTTATGCAACGCCTGAACAACTGACCTCTGACTGTCTTTATGCAACGCCTGACCTCTGACCGTCTTTATGCAACGCCTGACCAACTGACCTCTCACTGTCTTTATGCAACGCCTGACCAACTGACCTCTGACTGTCTTTATGCAACGCCTGACCAACTGACCTCTGACCGTCTTTATGCAACGCCTGACCAACTGACCTCTGACTGTCTTTATGCAACGCCTGACCAACTGACCTCTCACTGTCTTTATGCAACGCCTGACCAACTGACCTCTGACTGTCTTTATGCAACGCCTGACCAACTGACCTCTCACTGTCTTTATGCAACGCCTGACCAACTGACCTCTGACTGTCTTTATGCAACGCCTGACCAACTGACCTCTCACTGTCTTTATGCAACGCCTGACCAACTGACCTCTGACTGTCTTTATGCAACGCCTGACCAACTGACCTCTCACTGTCTTTATGCAACGCCTGACCAACTGACCTCTCACTGTCTTTATGCAACGCCTGACCAACTGACCTCTGACCGTCTTTATGCAACGCCTGACCAACTGACCTCTGACCGTCTTTATGCAACGCCTGACCAACTGACCTCTGACTGTCTTTATGCAACGCCTGACCAACTGACCTCTCACTGTCTTTATGCAACGCCTGACCTCTGACCGTCTTTATGCAACGCCTGACCAACTGACCTCTCACTGTCTTTATGCAACGCCTGACCAACTGACCTCTGACTGTCTTTATGCAACGCCTGACCAACTGACCTCTGACCGTCTTTATGCAACGCCTGACCAACTGACCTTTCACTGTCTTTATGCAACACCTGACCAACTGACCTCTGACTGTCTTTATGCAACGCCTGACCTCTGACCGTCTTATTCAACGCCTGAACAACTGACCTCTGACTGTCTTTATGCAACGCCTGACCAACTGACCTCTGACCGTCTTTATGCAACGCCTGACCAACTGACCTCTGACTGTCTTTATGCAACGCCTGACCTCTGACCGTCTTTATGCAACGCCTGACCAACTGACCTCTGACTGTCTTTATGCAACGCCTGACCAACTGACCTCTGACTGTCTTTATGCAACGCCTGACCTCTGACCGTCTTTATGCAACGCCTGACCAACTGACCTCTGACTGTCTTTATGCAACGCCTGACCTCTGACCGTCTTTATGCAACGCCTGACCAACTGACCTCTGACTGTCTTTATGCAACGCCTGACCTCTGACCGTCTTTATGCAACGCCTGACCAACTGACCTCTGACTGTCTTTATGCAACGCCTGACCAACTGGCCTCTGACTGTCTTTATGCAACGCCTGACCAACTGACCTCTGACTGTCTTTATGCAACGCCTGACCTCTGACCGTCTTATGCAACGCCTGACCAACTGACCTCTGACTGTCTTTATGCAACGCCTGACCAACTGACCTCTGACTGTCTTTATGCAACGCCTGACCTCTGACTGTCTTTATGCAACGCCTGACCTCTGACCGTCTATTCAACGCCTGAACAACTGACCTCTGACGTCTTTATGCAACGCCTGAACAACTGACAACTGACTGTCTTTATGCAACGCCTGACCAACTGACTGTCTTTATGCAACGCCTGACCAACTGACTGTCTTTATGCAACGCCTGACCAACTGACCTCTGACCGTCTTTATGCAACGCCTGACCAACTGACCTCTCACTGTCTTTATGCAACGCCTGACCTCTGACCGTCTTATTCAACGCCTGAACAACTGACCTCTGACTGTCTTTATGCAACGCCTGACCAACTGACTGTCTTTATGCAACGCCTGACCAACTGACCTGATTAACACTGTGTCCATCAGCATGTTTGATGTCGGAGGACAGCGAGACGAAAGGAGGAAGTGGATCCAGTGCTTCAATGGTGAGAAACACTGATCTACTAAAGAACCCTGAGAACTGAGTGCACTTCCTGTTGAACTGACGCTGTGTGTTGTCCAGATGTGACCGCCATCATCTTCGTGGCGGCCAGCAGCTACAACATGGTGATCAGAGAGGACAACTCCACCAATCGGCGAGAATCTCTGGACCTCTTCAGATCCATCTGGACCAACAGGTTCGCAGTTAACCCCCCCCTGCTCTGCGGTTGGCTGCTCTTAACCCCCCCGCTCTGCGGTTGGCTGCTCTTAGCCCCTCTGCCCTGCGGTTGGCTACTCTTAACCACCCTGCTCTGCGGTTGGCTGCTCTGAACCCCCCTGCTCTGCGGTTGGCTGCTCTTAGCCCCCTCTGCTCTGCGGTTGGCTGCTCTTAACCCCCCTGCTCTGCGGTTGGCTGCTCTTAACCCCCCCTGCTCTGCGGTTGGCTGCTCTTAACCCCTCTGCCCTGCGGTTGGCTGCTCTTAACCACCCTGCTCTGCGGTTGGCTGCTCTTAACCCCCCCTGCTCTGCGGTTGGCTGCTCTTAGCCCCCTCTGCCCTGCGGTTGGCTGCTCTTAACCCCCCTGCTCTGCGTTTGGCTGCTCTTAACCCCCCTGCTCTGCGGTTGGCTGCTCTTAACCCCCCTGCCCTGCGGTTGGCTGCTCTTAACCCCCCTGCCCTGCGGTTGGCTGCTCTTAACCCCCCTGCTCTGCGGTTGGCTGCTCTTAACCCCCCCTGCTCTGCGGTTGGCTGCTCTTAACCCCCCTGCCCTGCAGTTGGCTGCTCTTAACCCCCCTGCCCTGCGGTTGGCTGCTCTTAACCCCCCCTGCTCTGCGGTTGGCTGCTCTTAACCCCCCTGCTCTGCGGTTGGCTGCTCTTAACCCCCTCTGCCCTGCGGTTGGCTGCAGGTTTCTGAAGACCATCTCAGTGATCTTGTTCCTGAACAAACAGGATGTGCGCTGACAAGATTCTGGCTGGAAAATCCAAACTGGAGGATTATTTCCCCGAATACAGCAACTACCAAGTACCTGCTGAGGGTACATTTACACTGTATACACACATGTGGAAGTACACACATACGTATATAATACGCTTCCTGACATCACTCGTCTGTCCAGCTGTTCCAGATGCTGATGAAGACCAAGAGTGTCCAGAGCCAAGTTCTTCATTAGAGACGAGTTTCTGGTAAAAATGCACTGGTGATGATGATGGTAGTTTCCTGTGAAGTCATCTGATGTCATAGTGATGTCATCTGTCTGACCCTCTGCCCTCAGAGGATCAGCCAGTCGAGCACTGATGGGAAACATTACTGCTATCCTCACTTCACCTGCGCCATCGACACAGAAACATCCGCCGCGTCTTCAACGACTGTCGTGACATCATCCAGCGTATGCACCTGCGGCAGTACGAGCTGCTCTGATTGGCACTCATCTGCCCCCCCCC